GAATCCGTGGTTTTCTCCGTTTTTCCGTGGGAAACAGAAAGCCCGGATCCCTAGTAATCGGGTCCATTATCTCTTACCTCTATATACTGCTGTCAATAAGGATGTTATCTCTGAAGACAACACTTTCCCTTTGCCTGAAGAAGGATGTTTGTACCCAAAAGCTTGCAAACAATTTTTCCAACTACAGTAAAAACTGTTAACCAGCACCTAACGAGCTGGCATGTTCTATTAACCAGCATGCCAGCTTGTAAGGTAAAGTGAAACTAGAAGTGCTCACTGTGGCACTTCTGATTTTGCTGAGCCCCCACAGCCTGGGGCAAAGCAGCTTGTGCTGCTGAGCCCCCACGGCCCGGGGCATAGCAGGCTATGCGGGGCCCATCTCCCTGTCCCTCAGGGCCTGCAGGGCCCGCGAGAGGGTCAGCAATGCCCCAGATGCGGTGGGAGAAGCAGCGGCTCGAATAGGCAAAGATGCCTGTTCAGGCCTCTGAAGTAACTGGCATATTTTGTTATCAGTGCCCCCCATTCTCCGTGGGTGCTGGATAACAAAGCTTTTACTGTATTTATTTAGTTGGTCTAATGAAAGATGTCCCATCTACCCAAAGAACCTCATCTGCCTATGATCTCTGGAGATACAAATCCACAGTTTGAGAACTATAACTCAGCATCACAGAGATGCTTAATGGGACCTTCTAGACTGAGCACTGAATCCCATTGGATAGAGTGGTTTTCTTTAATCTTTACTAGTAGAGGAGTTTCTGGGAATCCCATTGGATTGGACTCCTAATATCGTCCATGGCCTGTTGTGACCTATTTATAAAACTTCTAAAAAGGTTATATGAATAAATTGTCTCAAATAGTATATAATTAGAAGTTATAATCCCTATTCCATGATGATATCTTCGATCTTTAACATATCTTTGTGGGGGCCGAGGGGGAAATCAAGGATTGGGAGTCCTCGGGAACGCTAGCTGGGGTTGCGGCTGCGATCCCGTAACGGGAAGATCGGTATTCTCTATCATTGGAGTGGAATTAGGCACAGACGAGACACATATCAATTGGAAAAACAGAGGTAGCGTTACTTACACTGTAGAATCATATACAGCGCAGGCAATCGTAGTTGCAACAGTTATCGTTAATCGAGGAGCTCTTGTAGACCGGGTAGCTCGGGCATGCAACTCGGAGGATACGTCGCAAGGCTTCGCCGACGGGGAGTCGTTGGCAGGTGATCAAGCTGCCGGAGTTCCACTCCAGGGGGAATCGCAGCGTTCTCTAACTAGGGCGGAATCGTCCCTAACCTTTTATATGGCTAGCGAGCCAATTGCCAGCCGCCACGTGGGAATAATTTAACATCGGCCAATTGTATAATGCAAATCTGCATTTCCTCGGCAGGAACTCTGTCCGCGCCGGAACTCTTCACCATGCTGAGACTTCCCCTGCCTTACCGTGCCTTGTGCTGGAAAGTTCTACTGTGTCGAGGCACTAATCCAAATCAGCTCTCACAATCTTAAATTAAAACTATGTTTATGTGTTTCTTTTTCTTAAAAAAAAAAAAAAAAAAAAAAAAAGCATCTTAAGAAAAAAATAAGATTAAATTTTAAAAATCTTATTAAAAAATAATTGTTGATTTCTTATCCACCCTGCCGCTAGAGCCCTACAGCGGCGTATTGTGGCCCCGAGCCCCAAACCCCATGCCTGGCTAGGCACTGCCCAGCTGGGCAGCATCCCCAACTCTACCCAACTCCCTTCCTCCTTCCCTCCCTCCCTAGCGGGGTCTCAATCCCCCCCTGCCCCTCCTCCCCTGACTTACCTTCAGGAGCTGCTTTTCAGGCTGCCATGAGCACATACATGTACATGGTGCCCTCTGCCTGACTGCCCTCCTCCTGCTCCCCACACAGCCTCTTGCAGGCTGGAATACTGCCAGTGTGCAGAGAGCTTTTTGAAAAACTGCAAAATCTGTGGGTTTCTCCATTAAAATGAGAGCTGCATTTTCATTGGGTAAAGGGGGAAATCCTTGTTTTTCTCCATTTTTCATGGGAAACAGAAAACTGTTGATGATCAGCTCCTTGAAAATGCTCTAAAGCTATGCACAAGCAGAAGAGCATGGCTGCAGAGCGCTCTGATTGGGTGGCAAATTAACCCTCATTGTATGAGGGTTCAAATGAAGACACTCCAAAGTGGAACACCTTCATTTATTTCTGTCTGCTTGCTGTAGCACAGCCTGGCCCAGCTGCTGTCTCTGGATGGGCGGGGGAAGAAGGCAGGTGTCAGAGGTCTGGTCTGGGGTTTTCTCAGCCCCACTGGAGTTGGGGGGCCAGGTGGATTGGAGCCCCTCACCTTGAGACATGAGCAGTGCATGCCCCTGGAGGTTGGGGAGGCATAGCGACTGCTCGCAGGCGGTGGTGGTGGCAGCAAGCAGGGAGCTCCCACAGGCAGCTGCGGCGGTGTTGGGGGGGGGGTGGGGTGGTGAATGCCAACTGGTGGTTGGCGACCACTCGCAGATTCAGGTTATGAAGTGAAATCATTGGGGAGGGAAGGGAAACAAGATTTTGGCCTTGCATATATCGAGAGAGAGAGAGAGAGGGAGAACACATACGTACAACAGGCTTAACATTTCAAATGTACATGTATTTTCTAAGCATTCATAGCATTACAAGATGCTATGCATGTATTGTGTTTGTGTGCGTATGCACTGTGTGTGTTGTGTGTGTGTAATATACTTTTTGAAACATCCTAGTGATGTATGCACAGTATGTATACAATCTTGCAACACTAAGAATGCTTTTAAAAGCTGTAATTAGTATTTATAATCCTATTGGTTGGGGGGTCTTTTTAAAATAAATCACTGATGCCTCAGTCTAGGAGTTGGCTTTTTGGCATTCGTGAAGGTTTGGATACTGCATGTTAGTGTAACTTTTTTTTCTGTCTTTGTGTAACTCGGCAAGGATCAACACTTACTTGTATATTCTGTAAGTTGATATGAGAAAAGTAGGAACTGTAGTAGTGTTCTGATAAGTGAATGACAATATTGTAAAAACGAATGAATGCCTTTTTCAAAAGTAGACTGGAAGCATATGACTAGGGACAAGGGGCTAAACTACTAAGCCAACCTTACTCAAACTGGTGCTGTTAGGGTCAGAATTGAACCCAGACTGGGGCAAGTCTAAGTTCTGCATGTGGGGTATCTATCACTTGTTGTCTGGGAGCTTACCGACTTCAAAGACCCACCTTTTGGTCAACAGGATACTTTAAGGAATGGACCCTGACATCAGTGAAGGTGTTAGCATGCACAATAAACATGTTTTAAAGGCCTCTAGCAAAACCAGGGAAAGCCATATATGACATTCCTGTTAGTTCCGTGTTGGGGGGGTTGTTAAATAGGTGAATGTGAAGGGGAAAGCTTTTCAAAAGCTTTTTGGTTCTCCTTTTATACATCATAAGTTAGATGAAAAAGTACAAGGATAATATTTTAAATGTTTTTTATAGTGCTTTGCAAGTTACCTATCTATTTTTTCCTATCTGTATCTATAACATGGCCTTTTCATTAAGGCCCTAATTCTGCAGCTGCCGCTACACAGACCTTCAGTGTAAGTGGAGTACCACTAACTTTAAGAAACCTGATGGTTGATTTCTGTGGGCATCTGTCTAGTGTAGGGGTGAGCAAAGTGTGGCCCTTGGGCTGGATCTGGCCTGCCAGGCCATTCTATCCAGCCCGCGGGGCACCTAAAAATTTTACAGAAGTAATATTTATCTGCTCCTGGCTGGCTGTCAAAGATGACAGGAGCCAGAAGCAGTAGGACCCAGGGGAAGCCAACAGAACCCAGGAGCAAGGCCAGCCCCACCCCCTCCCACCCCTGCCCTCCCAGCTGGAAGCCTCTGGCTGGCCCAGCTTTCACTGCTTTCCTGCGTGGCTGCTCCAGCACCCCGTGGCCCCGGGCTGCATCGCCGGACTGAGGGAACACGGGGTTGGCAACAGACCTAGAGTTCTGCCAGCAGGGCTCAGACTTTGTGCATTGCTAGACTGCCAACAGCTGCCACACATCCTCTCCGTCAGCAGAGGTTCCCCACCTCTACCCAGCAGAGTAAGAGTTCTGCTGCAAGGACAAATATGAAAGGCCTGGAGGTAAATGGCAATGGGGATCAGATGTGACATGGGTTTTCCAAAGAGAGATTGTGCCAGACTAGCTGCTGTTTTTCTTTGCTGGGAGAGCTGAATTTTTAAAATGAGACTGGCTGAATTTCTCTTGTTTCTCTGGACTTCAGCAAGCCCCTTGATATGGTGCCCCATGGGAAATTTAATTTAGCCGGAGAAGACAGACATTAGTGCAAGAACTGTAGTCAGTTCTTACCCCTTTATTATTAGGGGGAACCTAAAAAACAGAATTTGTCACATGTTAACTTGGATTTTTAACCTTTGCCTTTCTTTCAATGTGGACAATACAACTAATTCAAGTAATTTTATTTTTCAGTTTGCTTTTGAGTTCATTGTTGGCAACTGAATTCAATTTAAGCACCCTGCTCCCACTCCTGCTCTCCAAGTAGTATTAAAATAGACTGGCTCTCCACCTCAAGGGCTGGAGATTAGTGTTTTTCAGCTCTGGAAGTATTTTTGTGACATTTTATATAACAGACTTGTCTGCGATTCCAACCCCTGTGTGCCTGGATGTTTGGTGTGAGTTTCCTTTGATCAGAGGATGTATTTAATTCCTTGGTGAGTGTGTTAACAGGTCAGACAGGGAACAGGAGGGGACAAGGAAACAAGCTTATTAAACTCAAGCTCCTGTTTAGCTCTGGAGGTTCATCCTCTGATCTGTCAGCTAAGATGATGACCAGCTCTTAAGAAACCAGTTCCAATGAGGCTGTCCACTGGCTGTCTTGAGTCCCACCCCTCAGGTTTTCAGTGCTTTAGAAATAACAATGATTAGCTGTTCTAAAGAAACCATCAGAGAGTTTGACAGGGGGAGGAATGATCACTCACTCTAATACAATGTCTGTCTGTCCAGGTGAAACTGGCATTGGCAAGTCGACATTAATGGACACTCTGTTTAACACAACGTTTGAAAGTGAGCCAGCCACCCACAATGAGCCCGGAGTGAGGTTGAAAGCACGAAGTTATGAACTCCAGGAGAGCAATGTCCGTCTGAAGCTGACCATTGTTGACACAGTTGGATTCGGAGATCAAATTAACAAAGATGACAGGTAAATTGCTTTTCCCCTTGGAAGGGGTGGGTTGCTTGCACTAACTTGTTTTCAGGCCTGAATGAGCGTGAACCTATGCTGGTATAGTTAGTGAAGTCGGGATTAGTGGCCTACTGCTCAGTAATGCTGCGTCATCCGGTGTCTAGAATACTGGACAGGGACTCTGAGACCCTGGGTTGTAGTCCCAGCCCTGGCTGCTAAGGTGCTGTGTGACCTAATTGCTTTGCCTTTTCTCTGCCTTCACACCCTTTCTCTCTTATTTAGACTATAAACTTCATAGAGCAAAGGTGGTCCCTTAATATGGGCATGTGCCTAATGCCATGGAACCCTGATTGTAACTGGAGCTTCAAGGCATGTTAGCATAGTAGAAATACTGTAGAAATGACATTACTAGTTTGTGGAGGCTGATGTTTTCCCAGAACAATAGAATGGTTTTTTATCCTGCTGGTTTTTGCAGATGAATTTAACATGTGCAGTTCAGCTCAGTGTAAGTGAATTTTGTTTCATCCAAACTTGATACTGTTTTGTTTTGTTTTTTAAGTTTGTACCAAATGATATCACTAAATAACTATCTGTTGCTTTGCAGGCCCAAAACACTGTTTTGGCATATTCCATAATTGATAGCTAAGTTATCCTGAGACAGCTGGGTATTACTTCTGTTTGATGACTGGGGAAGCTGAGGCACAGAACAATGTGATTTGTCCACTGTCATCCAAGTCGGTACCAACCTGTGACTAGAATTTGGGTCATCTTGATTCTGTGCTCATTCTTCCAGGCCTCAGTGTTTTAAAGCTGAGTTACTTTTGCTCATGGAAGCAAGATAAATATATTTAACAGGCATATATATTTGGTATGGTTTTTGATTTGCAAAAACACATTGCAATCCCCTATCTGGGTCACAGCGTCATTCATTGATGTATGTCAGAGATGTGTCCTCTGATATCTCCTAACCAATGATGATAGGAGTCAGGAGGCAGAAGGGTGAACAGATAGATCACTCTAGATATACCCAATTTGATACTCTTCCTGTACAGAATCCACTCCTGCCACTGTTGGAGACAAGATACTAGGCTAGATGAACCATTGGTTGGACCCAGTATAGCACTTCTTATATTCTTATGCTGTAAGGCAATGATGGTGTGAGGTATCCTTTCCCATCCCAAATGAGAGTGCTGTATGTATGTTTCAGCATTCCCTCAGTCAGTATTCATAGGGTGCCCAGCTCTGCTGTCTGTACAGACATTTGCTGTCTTAAAAACTTTATCTTCCACTGGGCCTCCATTCCCTTGCAGAACCCACTTGGCATGTTGAGACTATACTGGGCTGGTACTGATATTTCTCTTTTTGGATGGAAGATTTCTGTTGTTCATTTTTAACCCATATCTGTTGTTTTTAAGAAGCCTTCCTTTTTGTGAAGATCACACTAAAATGCACTGGTGTTTGTGCATGACCATGTGCACACACGCACTATGCAGGCTCCACTTGCATTTGCAGCAGCGTTTAACTAGCACTTTGTCTTGCTACAAAGGAGGACTAAAGAATGGAGTGTGTGTTAATTAGAGGCAGGTCTCAGAGATGTGGGGTGGAAAATTTTCCAGTGCTTTATTTTTCCATGGGAAATTTTCCATTTCTAAAAATTCATTGTTTCATAAAATTCATTGGTAACAGTGAACGGATGCCAATACAATACAATAAAAGTTTTGTTATCCAGCACCCACGGGGAATGGAGGGTGCTGAATAAGAAAATATGCCGGTTAACTCAGAAACTTGAACAGGTGTCTACCTGGTGGGGCCACCACCTGTCCTGCCGCATCTGGTGTGTTGCCGCCCCTCCCACCACATCACTGCCCCTCCCTCAGGCCCCGTGGGTCCCAAGGGACAGGGTCGGGGGAGCTGCACAGCCTACTATGCCCCGGGCTGTGGGGACTTGGCAGCACAGGCTGCTTTCCCCCGGGCCCTGGGGACTCTGCGAAACTGGAAATGATGCGGTGGGCACTTCCAGTTTCTCTTTTCCCTTACAAGCCCTTACAAGCCGGCATGTTGGTTAACAGAGCATACTGGCTTGTAAGGTGCCGAATAACTCAGCATTTACTGTATCAGGCAAGCTTGGCAGTTTCAAAGTTGTAATGAATGTTTTTCAGGTGATTATCCCTAGGAAATGTGTGAGAGAGTACATATATGTTTTATTGATTTGTAAACAGGAGGGTAAATACACTCACATAATAATCCAAACCAAAAATCAAGTTATGAATTCACCTAATTGGCTGTCCAGGTTAAATCAAAGCCAAAGCTACAATTCTTATTTCATCTTAGACGGCAAGCGAAAACAAAACCAAAACTAAAACTGTGATTCAATTTTGTTTCACTTTCAGTTCAGCAAACACACAGAGTAGTGTTTCATTTCTTTTCTTGAGCTGGGGAAGTTGGAGTGTTTGCATAAAATCTGTTAGGTTATTTTTAGTGCTTTTGGTTTGAAGTAGTCACAATCATGCCTAATCGGAAAAAAAACTAGCGTGTGTCATCATTACAGTGAAGTTCAAGCCAGTGAAGGAAGGAAGAAAGTTGGTAGATGTAAATATTGCAGGCAGGAGTATGCTGACAATGCAACAAGAATGAAGAAACATTTAATAACATATAGAAACTGTCCTAAAAGAGTACAAGCCATATACAGAAAGCTAATGCAATGAAGTGTTGGAACAACATAATCTGAGAAAAGTCTACTTCAGGAATCCTATGCAAGTAAGCAAATTAATATGTTAAACAACACAGAATAGATTAGCATCTATATTGTTTTAAAACATTATCATTTTAAAAGTTGTTAATGCAACTCTGGACTATTTATTTATTTATTTAAAATATTTGTATCCTGCTTTTCTGCTTGCACTAAGCACCCAAAGTGCCTTAGGCTTAACAATAATTTTTTTTTAAACTACATAATAGATAAATAGTTAACTATTTCAACCCAGCCGAGTGAGTTTAGTCCTCTGGCTGATGGCAGAAGCCAGAATATACTTCCCTTTGGCTCTGCAATCCCAGGGTAGCTGAGCATCAGAATGCTCAGCAGCAGTGTTCTTTCTGGCAGGGAGTGGGGAAGCAAGCTCCCTGTCACTTCTCCTTCTCCTGATGCAGGAGGCCAGGCTAGAATAGGCTAAAATAAAAATATTTCCCCCTTTTGTTGCAGGAACTTGGTAGCTCAATTGAAATAGCAGATTTTCAAAAAATGGAAAATGAAAATGTTGAGCTGCCAGGTCTGGGGGAAGAAGCAGGATCCTCACTTTCAAGATTACTGTCACCATATATATGATCCACCATGAGTAGCTGTTCAAGACAGTCAAGCTTTGTGGACAACATGTCAAAAGAAGATCAAGAAAAAGCAGATGAGACATTAGCTCAAGCTATATTTGCAAGTGGTACACCTCTTTCCATAACTGAAAATCAATAGTGGAAGAAACATTACAAACTAATTCTCCCATCATATAAGTGACTGCCACATTATCGCTTGTCACATTCTCTCTTGGATAGACAGTATGAGACAGTTCAAATAATGGTTATTCAAAGTATTGGTCAAGCAGATTCACTGACTCTGATGTCAGATGGATAGACTGATATATAAGGAAATCCTTTATTAAACATTGTTAGCAACACCTGAACCAATATCCTGAAAGCAATTGCTACCAAATCTTCTTGTCATACAGGTGAATAGATAGCCAAATTACTAAGCGAAGAGATTGAAAGTGCAAGTCCTCCAGGGTACAAGCCCTTGTAACTGATAATGCAAGTAACTGAAAACTGCATGGCAAATATTCATAGTTTCATAGATGTTTGGGGCAGAAGGGACCTCAGTAGATCGAGTCCAACCCCCTGCCCTGGGCAGGAAAGAGCGCTGGGGTTTAGATGAGCCCAGCTAGGTGTATGTCTAGCCTCCTCTTAAAGAACCCCAAGGTAGGGGAGAGCACCACCTTCCTTGGAAGCCAAATCCAGATTCTGGCAACTCGTACTGTAAAGAAGTTCTTCTTGATGTCTAACCTAAATCTGCTCTCTGTCATTTTGTGGCCTGGTAAATGGGGTACCTGGTAAACGGAGCATCTCTTATTCCTTGTTGCCCCCCACTTCTCCCAATGAAATTGTAGGCAGCCACAAGATCACCTCTCAGCCTTCTCTTGCGGAGGCTGAAGAGATCCAGGTCCCTCAATCTCTCCTTGTAGGGCTTTGCCTGCAGGCCCCTAACCATATGACTGGACCTGTTCTGGACCCTCTTGAAGTTGTCCACATCCTCTTGAAGCCCCAAACTGGATGCAGTACTCCAAGTGCGACCTGACCAATGCCGCATAGAGGGGAAGTATCACCTCCCTGGACCTGTTTGTCATGCATCTGCTGATGCATGATAAAGTGCGGTTAGCTTTACTGATCTTTTCATCACATTGACGACTCGTGTTCATCTTGGTGTCAACAATGACTCTGAGATCCCTTTCCACTTCTGTGCTGATAAGAAGGTCATCCCCCAGCCTGTAAGCATGTTGGAAATTCCTTCTCTCTAGGTACAGCGCTTTGCACTTGTCTTTGTTGAATTGCATCTTATTCTGTTCTGCCCACTTTTCCAACCTGTCCAGATCCACCCGGATTCGTGCCCTACCCTTTGGTGTGTTAACTTTACCCCATAATTTGGTATCGTCCGTGAATTTGGACAGAAGTGCTCTCCACGTCTTCATCCAAGTCACCGATGAAGACATTGAATAGCACTGGTCCAAGGACCGAGCCCTGCGAGACTCCACTGCCTACATCTTTCCAGGTTGAAACTGACCCAGCCACCACCACTCTCTGGGTGTGACCCCTAAGCCAATTTGCCACCCACCTGACTGTGTAATCATCTACATCACAGCTGCTCAGTTTATTTATGAGAATAGGATGTGATACCATATCAAAGGCTTTCTTAAAATCGAAGTAAATGGCATATACCTCGGCTCCTGTGTCTAAGCATTTTGTGACCTGGTCGTAAAAGAAACGAGGTTAGTCAGGTAGGATCTACCTGCTGTGAATCCGTGCTGGTTGCCCTTCAGCATTATTTTTCTGGCTGGACTCCCACAAATGTGGTCCTTAATAATTTTTTCAAAAAAGGCAAAGTATCCTCATTTAATAGTATTTGGCTGTCTTGCTCATGGGTTGAATCTTCTGGCAAAGGACATACTAAGTGTGAATACAGTGAAGACAATATTGGAAAACTGCAAAGCGATTGTGAAGGTATCCAACAATCATCATGTTGCCAATCAGACTTTGAAGAAATTACAGAAAGAGAAGCAGGGGAAGGAAGGTGCACTTTTATTGCCAGGAGAAACTAGATGGGGCTCAGCTACAAAGTGTTTACATAGTTTGCTATGTACAAATAACGGTTTGCAGTGTGCTTCAATAGATAACGCAGTATCCCAGATTATTCCTGTGAAAAGTCAGAAGCAGATTCTCAACAACCATGTATTCTGGGTTCGAGTTCAAGGAGCATTCAGTTTGCTACTACCAGTTTCAGTGGCTATCAAGAAACTTGAAGGAGATGCACCAAGCCTTTCAAATATTCCAGAGATAGTCAGACAACTGAATGAAAATCTAATTGAGATTTTGCCTTCTTCACCTCTATCCAAAAAAGAATTAAAATAACTTTACTAAGAGATCTGAATTTTGCTCTCATCCATTTAATCTGGCAGCAAACCTTTTGGATCCTCAGCACAGAGGACGACATTTATCAGAAGATGAATTATCTACTGCTCTTGATACAATTATGGAAGTAGCTAAGAATGTCCCCAACATCGACGAAATAGCCATGTTGATAGACATTGCCGAGGGCCACACAAAAGAAAAAAAAAAACTTTCGAGCAAAGACATCATTTGGCGGGTAGCGGAGAATATGTCTCCTCTCCCATGGTGGAAGGGATACTGTAACACTCAACTGTTGTCCAGGATTGCTCTAAGGATCCCAAGCATTCCACCAACAGCAGCTTCTTGCTGGAAGGCTTTCAGCTCAGTCATGACAAAAAAAGAGGAATAGATTAGCAAATGAACGCACTGCTAAGCTTGTTTCTATTTCTCAGAATCTTGTGCTTCTGACTGATTTTCCAGAAGCAAAATTAGTTAAGAAGCAGCAATGTGATGATAAGTTGCCCTTGCCCATAGACTATTTGGTAAAACCATCCTTTAAGAAAAGAGAATGTGGTTCAAGTAGTTCTGAATCAGATTTGCCTCAGTCTGATTCTGAAATGGCACTAGTGTGTAGTGCAAGTGATTCTACAGATAGCGACAGTGAAACTGGAGGTGCCGCAAGGACCTCAGTGGAAGAGAGTTAAACTCTGTTGAAGTAGATGAGTAGACAACCATGGCATATCATCCGCTGTTCTTTGGGCATGCTAAAATTAGTGTGTCAACAGTTTCCAGTGCCTTTGGGTTTTCTTCCTTAAATTTAAACAAGCAGTGAGTGTAAAGGGAAGTATATGGTATTGTGTAATGTCGTTACATTTTTACAAGTATGCCAATAAAAATAATTTCTTTCCACATAAAGCTTTGAATTTGTTTGACTATAACATTTAAACCACATTAAGTATGCTGTATTTAATTTTTTTCCTAATCAACTATTTTAAGTTCAAATACTTGTGGCTATTGGGACATAAAATTAACATGAGGGTACTTGTTTAGTTTTGTTTACTAAATATAAGTCAAATAAACATGCTAAATCAGATCACACTCTATTTAGGTCATTGGAAAATTTTCCGGAAAAATTTTCAATTACAAATTTTCTGGAAAACCCACATCCCTAGTAGCTCTGAGCTTGAATCAATACTATATGCTCTCAAGCTCTAGGGAAGGCAGGTTTGAAAAGGAGAAGGTGTTCACAATGTGAACGCTGTGCTGCTTGTTATTGCTGGGTTACTTTGCATCCATTGTATTCAGCAGACAATAAGAACTGACAGCATTGTTCCAGGAGTCCCTCAGACTTTTTATTCCAAAGTTGCAATACAAAGACAGGCACGTGGTATAGCAGAAGCTATGAAAACCATTATTCCAATTGTGTTAGCACAATTGCAGACTTGTCACCAATGACTATGGCATCTGGGGGCTATCTCTACTTCCAGATCAGACTTCCAGCCCATTTTGATGACTCTTTTGTGCATGTGTCTTCTTCCATGTCACACTAAGGTAGGCTGTTTCAGATGCTCTTGCAGTGTGCTATTGTTCTCCTTGAATCATCTGTGTCAGATCAGGCAGGGTTTCCAGGGGGATGGAGACTAGACTGTATCAAGGATCTGTAAAGCAAGATTTTTTCTATGCCTGTTTTTCCCTTAGCTTTTTGGATCTCCATCACAGTGCGCTTCTGCATGTGAAAAATATATCGCTCGGGTCATGTTCTGCCCTAATCTGCACCCTGTAGGTAAAGCCAAGAAGAACTTGGTGTTCAGTATATCCAAACTTGAGCTACTGGATGCAGCTATTGAACAGCTATACTGTCATCTGGAGTCAGGGTGTAGAAGTGTTTCCCCTGCTCTGAACTTCAATGCACAGCACACTTCTAATAACCTGGTCCAAAGGGAGTGGAGGACCTGAAAATGCCTGTTAGTCCTCCTCTTGCCTGACAGTGGTTGTCATGGAGATTGTCAGTCAAGTCTGTGCCAGTAATAGCTCAGTCTTTGGGGTTCCCCTTGCCCCCCAGATTGATTTCTTGCTCCAGAGGCTGAAGGAGGCATGGCAAGATGGCAGGATAGCAACCAAATTTTAGTGTTCCTATGTTTTAACTTACTGGATCAGGGGTGTCAAACTTGTCTGTGCCCACAGGCCGAATCCAGAACCGGCAGTGACAGGGTGAGTAGCTTACCTCACCTTGCTGTTGATAGATGTCCTCAATGGGGCTCTAATGGGGAACTTGGTAGTGGACTCTACCTCTGTATTCCTGGCCCCTCTAGGAGCCCTGCAGGGTAGTTGGCAAAAGAGCTTTCAAAGGAACATGCACTTCTGCATTGTTAGCCTGCAAAAATACCCTAAGTGATCTCTGCTTGCCTCAATCCCTCAGGAGCCCCATAATGTGACCATAAAGCAGAATGCTTAGGAATTCCTATAAATGCACATGCTTTTAGAGTCAAGGCTGTAGATAACAAGGGAACAGGATTTGAGCAGGTAGAGATATTGGTTGAGGCAGGCTTCATAGCTGGTGTAAATGGGCATCATTTTATTGAAACAACACCAGAGACTTTGGCCCCAGGGTCCTACTTTATTTTCAAGCAATAACATAGCTGTAGGAGAAACTTGTCTTGTGGATGCCATGGTTAGTGCTGAAAAATCTAGTGCTTGTGGAGGCCAGCAAAACACAACATGCTGCCAGTACCCATTGTACTTTACTAGTAACAGGCCTGCATTGAGGGGCAATGGAAAGTGATTTAAACAAAACTCTCTGCAGAGCTGGCTCATGAAGCACTCTTTCAGGAGCATCAGATTGGGTCACGTTGTACCATAACAGCATTTCTGCAGCGGGGGGGGAATAAAACCCTGAAAATTTGTTATTGTTGTTTTTATTTGTTTGGTTTTTGGCGTTTGCCTAGTTTTGCTCCTGTAAATTCCTGGGAAACTGCCATCCCTTTGTAAATATCTTTCCTTTTTAAAACAATGCAGAGGATGTGTGGGCAGCTGGGTTATGTATTAATGGCATCTTTTTACTTCAGATGCATCTAGTCTAGGGGTGGGCAAAATGCGGCCTGTGGGCCAGATCCAGCTTGCCAACTGACTGAATCCAGCCCCCGGGTGGGGGCAGCTGCCAATTGATTGGATCCAACCTGTGGCTGCCCCTATGGGTGCTCCACATGGGGCCAAACCTCACCTGGGGCAGGCTGTGCCGCACTCCAGCCTGCTCCCACTGGCCCCAGTTTGGGCCAGCTACCTAGATGCTGCTCAGCTCCCCTTGCCTCCAGCAGCAGCTCCCCCTCCTGTTCCTGCTGTGTCTCCCCGGGTACAGAGGAAGCTTCAGTGTGGGGCTCCTGCTCCACTTCCCGGTTTCTTTCCACCCACTCCATGCACCTAGGAAGCGGTTCATGCTGGCTAGGGCAAGGCCTGTGGGAGTAGGTTGGAGTGCAGTGTGGGGTGCCACAGGGGCAGCCATGAACTACACCACCTGGGGGAGCTCTGCTGCACATGCTCTCTGCCCCCCTCCCCTCACTGCTGGCAGGCTCCCGGGACCTAGCCATTCAGGTGACGTGTGTGTTGTGTCCTGTGTGTGTGTGTGTCCCCAATATGTGCCCTCCTTCCTACACATGCACCCTACACTCTGCCATAGAGCAGGGGCATGTAGGGAGCACATCGCAGCTCTGCTCCCCAGAGTTGTCACTGCCCCACAGCCCTGCCTCCTGATCCTGGCCTCATCCACCTGTCCCACTTCCACTCCCAAATAGTGCTCCACCTGCCTGCACCCCCATTCCACATAGGGAGTTTTGGTGAGTTGTTCCGGGGAGGGGGAGGGAGGTGCTGACCTGGTCTGCCACAATTCATCAAAACTCTTGTGTGTGGCCCCTGGGCCCAAGTAATTGCCCACCCCGATCTAGTCTCTCTCATGCAGGAAGTGGAACATTCAATGGCACAAGTTGTCAATAAAATGTGGTGGTGCCTAGGATAGCAGACTACTGTGGCCTACATGTTCTTAAAAGCCCGGGATCCCTGCCCAGTGCCACGCTGGAACCCCCAGTCATTCGAAAGGGAATGAGCAGTGTGCAACAGGGTGCCACAAGCCCTTCCATGGAGAACGGACAAATGGGTGGGGGGGCATTAAAATCAGAAATACAGAAGAAGCACTGAGACTTCCTGAATGCCCATGAATTAGGATGTATCATACTTTGTGATGAATGCCCCACTTTGCATAGTACCCAGTCTTCCAATTTTTTTCCAGCTATAAACCCATTGTAGAATATATTGATGCCCAGTTTGAAGCCTACCTGCAGGAAGAGCTGAAGATCAAGCGTTCCCTGTTCAACTACCATGACACGAGGATTCATGCTTGCTTGTACTTCATTGCACCAACAGGACATTCACTGAAGTCTCTAGACCTGGTCACCATGAAGAAGCTTGACAGTAAGGTACTTACTACCCCTATTACAATGTTGAGCTGCTCTCCTGTTGTCCTTTCATTTAAAGACCTTGCTAGAGTGTTAGAGAAATGATTTTGTTTGTGTTCAAGCTCTGTAGGCAGCACAAGCAGGTTAAAATTTAGTGAATCTCCAACAGCTGCCAGCTGGATATGATCTGGGTTCTTTTTTTCATTTTTTTTAAACTGATTCATCCATCCATAAAATAATGGCTGCTGACAGACATGGAAAAAGAAAACAAAACAGCACTTTACCAGGAAAGGAAGCACATTAGTTTGACCCGGCTCCCCAGTCTCTATAGAGATCAGGCACTTCAGCAGGGGTTTTTTGGCACTTGTATCTAAAGCTGATTCAGTGAGCTATAAAATAAAAGTGGCAAAAAGCCCTGCTGAAACGCATGATCTGTACAAACGTTGGGCAAGCCAGGTCAAGCTAACATGATACCTCTTCTGGGCATGTGCTGTGCTTTGTGCAGGGGTGCGCTGAGCTTAAGGTAAAACACTGTTTTTCTGGGTCCCCCCCACATGCACTTCTGTAAGCTGCCAGTGTGACCAGCATTGTCCTGTAGCAACCTCGTGAATGGTAGTGCTAGAGCCAGGCCATTCAGGATAGCAGACACAACAATTTAATTTCGAGTTGATAGTGTTCAAAATTGGCCCCAAACATTCCCCTGTTCTCACCAAATCCACAAGGGTATTATACTGGCCCAAACATTTCTTTGATACTGCTAAGCCACAGTTCTGTAGTGCAGCCAATATCTTTACTGAGTGATGAAGCAGCCAGGGGATATGTTGGGGGAGAGTAGGGGGGGAGGGAGCAGATTTAGCTCTTGAATGGGAGAGGGAAGCTCATATTCAAGTTTATCCTAGGAAGCTGCTGGTCTGTAACACACACAAATCTGCCAGAATACTTCAGCTTCTGTGTGTGAAATAGAAATGTGGAAAGAGCATCCTTAACTCATACAAATGCTTAGCTTTTCTATAGTAAAAGCTAAATAAATTATAGATCCCTACCCCAGGCCACTTGGAACATTGGGGCAAAGATCTTTGCCCACCAAATACATCAGCACTGTGGTTTGGCAGGGTGGATACAAAAAGGTAAGTTAAACTACCAAGTAGAACTTTATCAAAAGCCTTTAAAAATACTTAAATCTGATTTTCTTTTAAAATAATTTCTTTTAAAAATTTGAAGTTGATGCCATATACTTAAGGCCTTAACTATTAAGCACATTAATGTATGTTTAACTATTAAGCACATTAATGTGACTATTTAAAAAAAATGAAATTAACATACACCCCCTGAAATTCAAGCAGTATGTTTTTGCTACAAAAGTGCTTTTTTGTTGTTTCTTTTTTTAAAAGAAGCCAAAACCACAGAATTCTGGTTTTATGGTAGCATTAGCCTCCTCTTTAGGTAAAGAGAATGTTAGTCATCTTTTTCCATGTGTTAAACTGTTTCAGGGGTGCTCAACCTCTGGTCTGGTCTGGTCTGCAGAACCATTACATCTGGCCCATAGGGTTCTCCAGGGAATTTTAGCAGCAAGGGAGCAGTGATCATTTAATACCACCACCCTGCCCCTGCCCCACTCAAATTCCCATGCCCCCTTCCTGGAGCTGGGCCATGCCTCCCTCCCCCAGGCCAGATGGAGGTGCTCTCCATCAGAGCCACCAGCTGGAGGCAGTGCCCAGTCTGTTCCTGGGCTGTATATCTAACTTGCTAAGGAAAAAGGTTGAGCACCATTGAATCAGTTCAACGGCTAGCGCAATCCAATTTGAGAAACTGGTGGAGAGTTGAAAAAGCAGGAAAACTTGTTTCTTCTTTGCATCTGAGACGCATGAAGCTACTAGTTATGAAATATTGAAGATTTGAGTCACTACCATGTCAATTAGCAACCTTGTTTCATAAGTTAGTTTTAAATTGGAAAACATGTTTTTATCAAAATATACCCATTTCCCTTATCAATTAGCACATTTGGGGTAACCTTTTTATTTAAAAAAACATTTTCAAAATGTTGTTCTTATGCATTTTAACTCAGTTTCAGTGTTTGTCCAAATGTGGTTTGCCACAAATCATGACTAAAAAAATCTAAGAAATAGAAATTGATGACTATTATACTTTCTAAACAACAAAAAAGTGAAACCTAAATATAAATTGAAAACCTAAATAGACAGTGCATCTTTGGCTATCCAAATCCTCAGTATTCTGACTGTCAACTGTGTTTTATGAATTTATGTAACAAGTTGTTCTCTTTTTAAGTTTTATTTAGTGGAACACTGCAGCTATGCTTATAAGTTTGATATAGTAGCTTATGACTGTCTGTGGGGGTATTTGTATGTTTGCATGTGTGTAAAACTTATTTTTACGCTTTGCTATCTTTAATATCTCTACTGTTAAGTCTTCTTTGGTTGTACTTAATGCATCATGTATTAATATGTATAACACTTCACAGGATGTTGTGCTTTTGCTTATCAGATTGACTTCAACTGTCCCAATGGCTTTCTAAACAGGTTTCAATAGTGGAGGATGTAATTACTGAGAGCATCTATACATGTCCTTGAATACACAGTACCTACTGGTACTGTGCAGTCCCGGCAGCACATGGATAGTTTTCAACCCTGCTGCAAAACTGTCCTTGCAGTAGCGACAGCATCACAGTTAGTGCCCACTGACGCTATGTCGCTGTAGTGATGAGCTACATTGCCGTAGCTCGTCGGATGTAGCCTCTCATGTAAACACACCCACTCTGTGTTAAAACTTTAAACAAATGCATATATTAGTATTACTGGTTAGTAAAAAAGGACAAGATCTGATATAAAGCAACATATGCTACAGATATCAGCCAGTTAGAAAAAGAAAAGAGAAGGAACCAGTTAAGAAAAGCACCAAAAACTACAGCTGTAAAACAAAATTTAAATTGGATGGGGTTCTTTTGGGATTGTTTGTTTGTTTGTTTGTTAATTTTTTAATCACTATGTCCAGCATATTCTAAATTTTCAACTACAATTAGTGATTTGTTTGCACTAGTGAGTAGTGAAATGAACTCACCCCGTGGCTCTGACAGCTCCTTGTATTCTGAGTAAAAGCATGGGGCACTGTTTGAATGCTAAAACATTCCACAATCCACTTTGGTGTCCAGGGTCTACAAGAGATCTTTTAACAGGTTCCCTGATGGAAGTCTGGGGAAAGGTTCATGGTTTTAAGACAACATGCAGAGCTTTACCAAAACTGAACTCTGTAAATTGACACTAGTCTTAGCTTTTTCCCCAGACAAGGATTAGTAGCTGTTCCAGAGACATCCTATGAAAGGAATTAGTTTATGTAATATAATAGGATTTTCAAGTAGTGGAGTTAAAATCTTTATGTGGGTCAGTAGTAACATCTTCCTTATTAGCAACATTTGTGCTATCCTAAAGCTGAACAAATCGAAGGTAGTCTGAGCCTTCTGTGCACAGGCAGGCATGAATTGGGAAGGACATGGATCACAGTGGTGTTCCTGAATGCAGCAGAGGCTGTGGAGAAGCCCTGCCTCTCCTTCTAGATCAGGGCTGTCCAATTTCCAAACAGCTGGGACTTGCATGCTGGGTTAGCTACGCACCTGGCAGGCCACTGGTCTGCCTGGCTAGATGCTACATGGGTGACATGGGCCATCTGCACTCCCCTGCTCTGCCTGCCTCCATCTCTTTGTGCTGCTGCAGCTTTGCCAGCCTAGCAGTGCCTGGGCTGCAGCTGGACTAGTGCCTGCCTGTGCATAGAGGTCTCAGCCCTAACCCCTGCTAGTTGAAGAGCCCTGCTCTAGATCAGTGCTTCTCAAAGTGGTGGTCCGTGGACCAGTGCCAGTCCATAAGCCACCGGTCTGCAGCGAATTGCCAGGAAAGAAATTTATTTTCAGAAGCGTAACATTGATATGTCATAGTGCCACAGGTCGCACGTTCCAACACTCCAGGTGACGTCATGTCATGCGAAGTGAGGAAAGAGAAAGAAACAGCCGATCGTGCATTTGTGTAGTGCTGTTACACGCAGTTGCTGCCACGGGTTGATCCGGGCACCGGTCCCTGGCCCACTGGAAAAAAAATTGCCGGTCCACCACATCAGATAGTTTGAGAAGCATTGCTCTAGATTACTGGCTATTTCTCCTCATTCCCTTCCTTCCATGAGTTTGGCCTACCTAGCCATAGGTGGACAGGTCTCTCTAGGGAGAGGGGTTGTTTCATTAAACATTATACTGCAAAGCTTAATCTTGAGTGATAGGCTGCCTTCTACTTGATCAGCTTTAGGATAGCACAAATACTGCTAGTAAGGAAGATGTTACTACTGACCCACATAAAAATTTTAACTTCACTACTTGAAAACCCTCTTATATTACAGAAACTAATTCCTTTCATAGGATGTCTCTGGAACAGCTACTAATCCTTGTCTGGGGAAAAAGCTAAGACTAGTGTCAATTTACAGAGTTCAGTTTTGGTAAAGCTCTGCATATTGTCTTAAAAGCATGAACCTTTCCTCAGACTTCCATCAGGGAACCTGTTAAAGGCTCTCTTGTAGACCCTGGACACCAAAGCAAATTGTGGAATATTTTATGCATTCAAAACAGTGCCCCACCCACTGGCGTCCTTCCCACTTCATATACCAAGTCCTAGCAACTAGGTAATGTAGCCTCGTCCGAGAAATCCTAAATATGTGCCAGTAAGCATCCCCAAGATGGACTAAGAATGACTTCAGATTAAGGGCATGACACAGAAGTAATATAAACATGCTCTTAGCAAGTAAGGACAGACAGATTCTTTGTAAAATGCTCCTGCTTCACAGCAAAGCAGTGGACAGGCACAGTACTCTGCATTCATTGGGACACTGAGGTCCTCAGCTGGCATGAATCAGTGAAGCTCCACTGAGAACTTGGCTCTGTATCCAGTTTGTGTATAGTTGAAGTCAGCCAAACAAGGTGCCAGAATTGTAAGCAACTTATGTAAAACACAAACCTTTCCAAGGGGGAAGGCCCAGTGGTTTGGGTTTTTTTTTGCCTTAGTCCAAAGTTATGAGGATCAGTTCATCTCTGTGCCAATCCCTACACCTTGTGCACTTAATGGTAATATTGCTTTCTCTCATGGTAGATCTATGGTAGGTCTGTAGCTGTAGGGCTGTATGGGGGTAAATCAATTCTAGGCTATGTTCTGAAGGTGAAACCTGGAGGAGTTAAGCCTATTACAGGTCTGAAGGAGATGAGTGCCTTGCTGCTTACTGCTATCTAAAATAGATATCCTTTTACAAAGCCACTGGTGGAGTAACATGACTGTTCTTTTTGTTGCAGGTGAACATTATTCCTATAATAGCCAAAGCTGATACAATTGCAAAAAACGAATTGCATAAATTCAAGAGTAAAATCATGAGTGAACTTGTCAGTAATGGAGTTCAAATCTATCAGTTCCCAACAGATGAAGAAACTGTGGCGGAGATAAATGCTACAATGAGTGTAAGTTTCTTTTTTTTTTTCCTTTTCTTTCCTATCATTAGGGGAGGGCATGCTGCACCCCTGGAAGCTAAGTTACAAGTGAACAGAGTTTTATCAAGTGACACAGAAGGCAGAGCAATGTCTGACATGTTGGAGATTCCTGGCTTGAGATCTGTGTTCCCAGAATTCTCAGAAGGTGCCAAAAGGCAAAAAGCCCCCTGAAACATTGGTCTGGAGGAATTAGTAAAGCAAGGGTTTCAAAATTCTGAATTTCTTTTTTCCTGCTGTGTGTGACCTTTCCGGTGATAAACATTTGGGTTTCCCTTTTCTTAGACATGCCAGCTCCAGGAAAAGAGAGGATGGGAGGTAGAAGTATGCAGTGATGAGGCCAATGGGCTCAGAGTTGAGCATCCTGTTCAAAGTTGCTCACTTGCTGAAAATCGTTGCCTTCCCATGATAGCCGCCAATGTCCCCAGTCTCTCCCCTGCCACCTTGTACTCGATTTAAATGCATGTGTGGGGGGGGGAAGCCTCACCTTGGAATCGAGTAAA